ATTAGACCTCGCCATCCCTGGGGGGCTGCGATCTGTGAAACTGTCGCCACTTTCGAGGCCTGCTGGGGGGCCCAGCGGAGTGACGCCCTACGGGGATTCAGATTAGACCTCGCCATCCCTGGGGGGCTGCGATCTGTGAAACTGTCGCCACTTTCGAGGCTGCTGGGGGGCCCAGCGGAGTGACGCCCTACGGGGATTCAGATTAGACCTCGCCATCCCTGGGGGGCTGCGATCTGTGAAACTGTCGCCACTTTCGAGGGCTGCTGGGGGGCCCAGCGGAGTGACGCCCTACGGGGATTCAGATTAGACCTCGCCATCCCTGGGGGGCTGCGATCTGTGAAACTGTCGCCACTTTCGAGGCTGCTGGGGGGCCCAGCGGAGTGACGCCCTACGGGGATTCAGATTAGACCTCGCCATCCCTGGGGGGCTGCGATCTGTGAAACTGTCGCCACTTTCGAGGCTGCTGGGGGCCCAGCGGAGTCGGGGATTCAGATTAGACCTCGCCATCCCTGGCTGCGATCTGTGAAACTGTCGCCACTTTCGAGGCTGCTGGGGGGCCCAGCGGAGTGACGCCCTACGGGGATACAGATTAGACCTCGCCATCCCTGGGGGGCTGCGATCTGTGAAACTGTCGCCACTTTCGAAGGCTGCTGGGGGGCCAGCGGAGTGACGTCCTACGGGGACTCAGATTAGACCTCGCCAGCGCTGGGGGGCTACGATCTGTGAAACTGTCGCCACTTTCGAGGGCTGCTGTGGGGCCCATGAAACTGTCGCCACTTTCGAGACCTGCTGCGGGGTCCAGCATAGTGACGTCCTACGCGGACGCAGATTGGACCCGTCATTCTACTTCGATTATCCCGCATCTGCGATCGACGGTATGTGTGCGAGGAACTAGACATGGAGTGGTCTGGCACTGACTGACGTCAAATCGTTGTGTGCCAGTGTCTCCTGGGGTGTTGCCTGATGTGGATGCAGCTCGTCGGCGCTGCGACTCGAGCTGGCGGTCGTCCTTCGGACCCGCAGAAACATCTGCTGAGCTCGATGAGCTAGGGGAACTACAGGAAAGAAGTGCAGGAAACGGAGGCCGGTCATGCACTCGCCGATACCTCGTTGCTCTGTCATCGTCTTTGCTGTTGCATGATCCTTATCTGGCCTGCCGGCGCCGCGGCTCGAGCTGGCGGTCGCCCTTCGGGCCCGCGGGAACATCTTCTGAGACAAGTGGACGCCGCCGCCTTACTTGCAGGCAGCGCATTGCATTCGCGGACAGCAGCATGGCAGACCGCAGTGAGATCCTCAGTCGCGTGGTGTTGCCAAGCCTGGTGGAGACGCGCGTGATCGACCTGAAGTCCCAATCGCGCGTGCACTGTACCTGCGTGGCGTTCAGGCACGCGCGTGATGCTGCTCGCTCCGCGTTCAACCAGTACGTCGCCAGTGCAACTTTGGACGATGGACAACCGATTGATGATACGCGACCCCGGCCTTGAGTTTCTTTCCCGCGGGCCGCCCGCAGACCTGGCGGCGCGCCTGCGAGCGTTCAGCTCCCGCGCTGAAATGTGCGGGAAGGAGGCGGAGAAGCTAGCGGGCGAGCTACGCCTCGCTCGTTCCTTGCACTCTAAACAAGTTTTATCATGTGGAACTCTGCGACGACATGGCGCAGGCAGCGCTGCGGGTTTAGCTCGCACTTGAAAAACGCGGCAGTCTTCTGTCTCCTCCCGCCACTTTCATCGTTGTCCTATTCCCCGCCTCACCTTCTCCATGCATGCTGCTGCTTCCGCGATGGCCTTTCGCTCCATTCCATCCCTCTCGTACCCCTACTTCCCGTGCCCGTTCTTCTTCGATCCTGGGGCCTCAAGCCTCGTTCTTTCGATCGTCGTCCTGTGAATCGTGCAGCGCATGCGCATCCCATGTAGCTTGCACAGCAAATCGCCGCGTCTACACTGTCGTTGTTCCTGCTAATGTTGGCGTACTCCTCTTGCCATGTGATGCGCGTGGGTTGGGTACGTCGCAGGATAATTCATAATTTGTTGAGGATGTCTCGAGCGAAGCGCTGGTTTTGCAACATTGGGGGATGTCTCGAGCGGGGGCCTCGTGGGGTGCCAGAATTCAAAGGAGGTCTCACGCAAAATGCTTGTTTCCACGTCCCGCTCGCAGGAATTCCGAGGATGACTCGCGCGTGCCGCGTCCCGCGCGCAGGAATTCGGAGGATTTTGGCAGGATGTCTCGAGCGATATGCTTGTTTTTAGTATGTTTTGTAGCGCGTCCCCTTGGCACGTCCCGCGGTGCGTCCCCATGGCGCGTCCCTTGGCACGTCGCTTGGCGCGTCCCTTGAGACGTTCCGCGTCGCGTCTTCCTGGCATGTCCCCCTGTCAATTAGCTTTGGGGCAGCTACTATGTGTTCAGGCAGCTCGAGCTTAAAATCCATATCAGTTCGGTCAGGATTCGGATGCAAAGGAGGACTCGATCCACGAGGCTGTAGAGCACAATCGCGGCATGGTACATCGCAATTCAGCGCGGCGCAGTACAGCACTGATTTCGGCACGGTACATCAATATCGATACACTCAGCATTGCAACTTGGCACATTCCCTGGCAAGTTCCGTGGGGCGTCCCTCGACGAGCCCCCGTGGCAGGTCGCGTGGCGCGTCCCCTGGCACATCCCGTGGCACATCCACTGGCACGTTCCGTAGCGCGTCCCCTTGGCACGTCCCGCGGTGCGACCCCATGACACGTCCCCCCCCGTCCCATTTCCACAAACCGGAACTGCCGTCACCCTAAAACACACCAGCTATGGCAAGCCTGGTTTGGTGATTCTGGCCAATTCGAAGGCTCCAAGGCCCTTCCACTAACCAGGTCCCCTTACCCGGGGTCCTGGCCATACCCGAAGGGTTCCCCTGTCCATCAGCTCTGGGGCAGCTACTATGTGTTCAGGCAGCTCGAGCTTAAGACCCAGATCAGTTCGGTCAGGACTCGGATGCAAAGGATGACTCGATCCACGACGCTATAGAGCACACTCGCGCCATGGCACATCGCAATTCAGCAAGGCGCAGCACAGCACAACACAGTCCCCCTGGCACGTCGCGCGGCGCGTCCCTGGGCACGTCCCGCGGCGCGTCCATTGGCACATTCCGTAGAGCGTCCCCTTGGGACGTCCCGCGGTGCGTGCCCATGGCACGTCCCCTGGCACGTCGCCTGGCGCTTCCCTTGGGACGTTCCGCGGCGCGTCCTCCTGGCATGTCCCCTCAGTCGATCAGTTTTTTGGCAGCTACCATCTGCTCAGGCAGCTCGAGCTTAAGATGCAGATTAGTTCGGTCAGGACTCGGATGCCAGGGAGGACTCGATCCACAACGCTATATAGAGCACAATCGCGGCATGGCACATCGCAGTTCAGCACGGCGTAGCACAGCACAACCCTCGGCACAGTACATCAATATTGATACACTCAGCATTGCATTTGCCCGTCGCCCAATCAGGAGTCTTTGAAACGTTGCCATGCCTTACATTTCTGTTCCTTTCCGGGTTCGTGGGTCGATCATTTCAATCCGGAAGCGTTCGGCACTTCGCAGCCAACCTGGGAACAGCGAGGTCCTTTGTGGATCCACGTTGTTCCGCGCTGCGCTGGCCCTCCCAGCAGCCTTCGAACGTGGCGGTTTCACACTTCGCAGCCCTGCGCCGCCGAGCTGCCAGACAGGACGGCAAGACAGGGAGCATGCAAACAGGCAGGTCAGCCAGGCGAGCGAACAGGGGAGACAGGAGAAGGGAGGAGGGTGGGACGGGGGCGACGGAGAAACAGGTGTAGACCCAATTGCCCTATTCAAAGAGAATCCAGCCACGGCTTGGTGGGGGAAAGCCCCGAATGCGCCCAAGAGGTCCAATGAACAGACCGAGAGACCTCTAAGAGGCTCGCAGGAAGCCCTCCGTAATTTACGATGTAGGCTCAACTGTTTCAGGCCAACGTCCAGCGACATTCGGATTCAAAGTGTTTCAAAGCAGCGATGAACTCATTAATCGTGGCTCTTTTACCGATTGGTGTATTTGGATCATGCCCCTTCATGGACATTGGCACTCCTCCAAGTTTGAAGGCAGAAGTCATTTCTGACAGTGACTTCAAGACAGCCCTAGAAGGGCTAGACATTGAGGCACTTGAGCAGGACCTCAGAATCCTCATGACAGACAGCCAGACTTGCTGGCCAGCCGATGATGGCCATTACGGTGGTTTTATGATTCGCCTAGCGTGGCATTGCGCTGGCACCTTTCGCACATCTGATCAGAAAGGGGGCTGCGGAGGTGCCAGAATCCGCTTCCCACCAGAGTCAGATTGGGAGGACAATGGTAACCTTGATAAGGCCCGTGCCCTTCTCGTTCCCATCTAGTGGCCTTCGGCCCATCCGCCACCGTGCTTTGGTGAGGGGTCAGAAGCCTCATGGATGTTCGTTGGGATCTCGTGGTTGGCGTCTTGAGGGCCTCTGGGAGGCAGTTTCGAAGCCTCTTGGGGCCTCTAGGGGGCCTCTTGGGGGCCTCTTGGGGCCTCTTGGGGGCCTCTTGGGGGCCTCTTGGGGCGGAGGGCTCAAATGTTCGCGCTCGGGGGCCACGATCTTCGTGAGGGGTGCCAAACAAGTTGCCCTCCCAACGTCACGCGAGAAGCCCGGGGCCGACGCGGCGAGCCCCATAAGATTTCGTAGTTTTGGCTCTGGTCCCCTTAAATGGTCAGGACTGAGGACTGGGATTCAGGGAACGAGGCTCTGGGGAGGAGGCGAAGGACTTGAGGGCGCGCCCACTCCGTGCCTCAGGGCACGGTGACGGATCAAGCAGAAATATGGCGATGCTCTCAGTTGGGGTGACCTCATCAGTTTTGCTGGTACCGTTGCTATCCGGGACATGGGAGGCCCAACAAATCCGCACTGTTTTGGACGAGTCGATGATGCAGATGGTAACAAGAGTGACATTTTTGGCGTCACAGATAGCTGGCAAGATACGGACTGCGTTGTGCAAGGAAATTGCCAGGAGCCAATGGGTGCGGTGAAGGTTGGTTTGATCTATGTGAACCCTGAGGGGCCTTTGAACGACCCGAACGATCTGAACAGTGGGCAAAACCCAGATCCAGAGAAGAGTGCCGTCGAGATTCGGGAGGTGTTCGGCCGCATGGGGATGAACGATTCTGAGACAGCTTCGCTGATAGCAGGTGGTCATGCTTTCGGCAAGTGTCATGGTGCCGGCGTTATGACGAGTGGCTTCGAGGGGCCGTGGACGACAACTCCTTCTCAATGGACCAACCAATTCTTGACTGGAATGCTTGATGAGGAGTGGGAGCAAGTCGCAACTCCATCTGGGTCGGCGGTGCAGTGGCAGACGAAGGACAGGACCAGCATCTTGGCTGGAACCATGCGTCTGACAGCAGACTTGGCTCTTGTGAACGATGATGCGTACCTGGCGTTAGCGAAACATTGGGTATGTGACCAGCAGAAACTTGACATAGCGTTTGCCGCGTCTTGGAAGAAGCTCGTGGAGTCTGGCGGTGGATGGTTGCCCGTGGAAGACAGGAGGTGTGAGCCTGAGTCCAAGGCGACGGGGCAGCAAACAGACCCCCAAAAGAATTTCCATTCGGTGTGCGCCACGACGACCACTGATGATTCACAAGAAGCCAGCACTGCCACTAAATTCTGTTTGTCGTTTTTGGCGGTGGTTTTCACCCCGTTCAGCCTTGGCGTGCACTCCTGGCTTGCGTAGACTTTCGCGCTTGTATAGTGTATGGGCTCCGATAGAGCGAACGCGCATGTGCGGGTTCTCACGATAACTTTAGTAATGGCGAGCTCCGTGGCACAGGTTGCGGGCATTTGCGGCGCCAGCTTTGAGTGCTGCTCGCCTCGTTTCGACGGTGAATCGTGATTCGAACAACTGGGCCCCAGCGAGCGTCGTGAAAAAAGCGTGCTTTTTCAAGACTCCTGATGGAGACTTCCGCCCGACCCCCCTTCTTGTGGCTGGCCCCTCCCCTTAGCTGCACTGCATCAATACATGTTTTCAAACAGTCTTTTATGTGCTATCTAGGGAGTCGGGGCCGTGCGTCGCCTGTAAACTACAGTCGTCAAAAAGCCTCGGGTTTTCGCTAATCGCGCCCGGCTTTGGCGCGATTAGCAAAAACCCGAAGGTTTTTGCCTTTGCAGCCTGATCTGTCCTTGTTGCTCATAGCTTTTTCGGTTCCCGACCCCCCCGACCCTTTCGAGGGTTTTCACGATAACTTTAGAAATGTGGCGAGCTCCGTGGCATAGGTTGCGGGCACTTGCGGCGCCGGCTTTGAGTGCTGCTCGCCTCGTCTCGACGGTGAATCGCGATTCGAACAACTTCGGGCGACTGGGCCCCAGCGAGTGCCGTGAAAAGAGCGTGCTTTTTCAAGACTCCTCATGGAGACTTCCGCCTTACCCCCTCTTGTGGTTGGCCCCTCCCCCTAGCTGCACTGCATGCATAAACTTTTCTGTTCTTGGAGCCTGCGCGCGACCCGTAACCAAGCGGTGGGTGACCGCCAGGCCCCGACAATGCCGTCTGGCACTGGAATCATCTTTGATTTGGTTGAGCCAGTTCGAGCTCCAGCAACCTTGAAGCTGGCATGCCTCCGGCGTGAATGCGACGTGGTGTGATAGGGAATCGCACGAAAGCGCAACCATGCGCGAACATCACGTAGCACGTACCGCAGGATCAATTGCACACGTCATTTGCAAGTTTCTGTTGTTCGGTAGCTTGCGTGACACCTATATAGATGTGCATTCATACACATATATATATATATATACGCATATACATATGTGCATATGGTCACACATATATACACATATAATGAGCAGGGGGTCCTGGGGCCCCCAAAGTACACTGATTTGCCTTCCGGCCGTTTCGGGCCCAGCGAGGGGCGCCAAAAAATGCCAAAGGGGGCCGAGAGACGTCCAAGAAGGCACCAAGATGGCCCAAGAGCGCCCCAAGAGAGCCCACGACCGCACAAGAGCGTTGTACCCAAGAGGGTTTCAAGTCGGCCAAGATGCCCTCAAAAGGACTCCCGCGAGGCATTCAAGAGGCGAAAAAGTATGTTTTTCTTGCTGACTGGGTTTAAGGTTGTTCGTGTTCTCGCTGTTTCGTGCTTCCGACGGTCCACGAGGCCCCAGCAATCAGCTCAAGACGGCCTGAGAGGCACCCAAAGAGTGCGCCACGACGGCGCAAGAGAGTCCCAAGACGGCCCAAGAGTGCCCCAAGCCGGCCCAAGAGGCGCCGAAGATCGCCCAAGAGGGCCCCAAGACGGTTTTAAGACGGCCCCAAGAGGGGCCCAAGAGGGGGAGCACGAACCGACAATTCGAGCCTTCCACCCCAAGAGGCTTCCAGGAGGCCCCAAGAGGCCCCCAACAGAGCCCAAGAGGCCCCCTAGAGGCCCCCTAGAGGCCCCACGAGGCCCCAAAGGGGCCCCGAAAGACGCTCCACGAGTATCCGTAGCCATTTTGGCTCAAGGTGGCTCTGACTGCAGCGCGCAAGCGCTCATCATAGTCGCCCGCCATCACCATGCGGACCCTGCGACCAGGCCTCTGGGGCCCGAGGCGGCCCACTTTTCCGACTCCCCCCGCGGTGCCCACTGTGTCCCTCGGGGCCCGGGACTCATTGCGGGCCTTCGGGGGGCTTTCGGAGGGCCCGAAGGCGCTGAGATAACCCCAAGATCGCCGCACGACATCCCAAAAAGGCGTCCAAGACGGCCCAAGAAGCCCGTAGGATCGCTCCAAGACGTCCCACAGAGCCCTCCAAGACGGCCTCAGTAGGCGCCTGTGGATCCCAGTGCGCTCTGAGACAGTCCAAGAGGCCCACAAGACACCCCACTCCGCACCCCTCCCCGCTCCTCCCAGATCGTTCCCATTCCAGGCAAGTTTGCGCGAGGCGGTTGCGTCTCTGGCCGCGAGATCCTGCCAGTTAATACCTACATGTACGACCACCCTTCGGGTGATGAGGAGGTTGTGTGTGTGTGTGTGGTGAAGGGGGGGGGAAGGGGGCCAACTGGAGCTACAACATAGCATTGCATCGCATAGCAGAGCATAGCATTGCACAGCATCGCACAGCGCAGCATAGAAGAGCATGGCGTAGCATAGCATAGCATAGCATAGCATAACATCGCATAGCATAGCAGCGCATATAATAGCGTACCATCGCATCACACAGTATGGCGTAGCATAGCATAGCATAGCATAGCATACCATCGTATCGCATATACACAGAACGGCGCACCGGGCCCGGTGGCCGAGGGCCGGAACCTCGACCGCAAGTGTGGGCCCCAGGGCCCGGGCCCGCCCTTTGGGAAGCTTAAAATCGCCCCGGGGAGCCCTCAGACAGCAAGCCGGGCGGCCCCAGACGGTCTCGAGACGCCCCCAAGACGCCGTCCAGGGGTCTTTGGCGACGCACGATGCGTTTTAAACTACCCCGGAGGCTCCCTAGACGCCCCAAGAGGCCTTCAAGATGCCGCCCAACGCCCCGAGAGGGCAACTCGTTGATTTTCATTGTTTTTTTAAATGTTATTTTTGCATTCTCGCTGTTTCGTGTTTCCAGCGGTAAAGCACCGCCCAAGAGGCTCCCCAAACCGTTCCAAGACGGCCCAAGAGGCCCCCAAGAGGGCCCCAAGACGGCCCAAGAGAGCCCCGAGACGGCTCCAGAGCCGCCCAAGACGGCGCAAGAGGGTCCCAAGAAGGCCCCAAGAGGGGCCCAAGAGAGGGAACGCGAACTGAAAAATCAAGCTTTCCGCCCCAACATGCCCCCAAGAGGCCCCAAGAGGCTCCCAGGAAGTCCCCAAGAGGCCCCAAGAGGCCCCCAAGAAGCCCAAAACAGGCTCGAAGAGAACCCCGAGACGGCCCAGGAGCCGCATCGCGCTATCCTTCGCTACGCGCAATCCTTCAAGCTAGCTAGAATTTGAGCGCGCGCGAAGCGCGCGCGATGGTTCTTTATACGGCACCCAATATGGCTTCATTTCTCTTCGCAGAACTATGTATCCGCGCCCCCGAGCCCACGACGCCTCGTCTAAAAACGCATCAGCGCTCCAGGGTCCACGATCATGTGTAAAGCACCATGGGTCCGCGCTTCCGAAGCCACGATCCCTAGCCAAAGAAATAATACATTATACAACGCCACTGATGCCACGTTTCCGAATAACGAACCATGGATCCGCGCTTCTGAGGCCACGAACACTTGTAACAACCTACGTGTCCACCACTTCCGTAAGTTCCTGGGAGGCCCAGCGGAGTGACGCCCCTCGGGGACCCGAAAGGGGCCTCGCCAGGTCCGCAGATGTCGCCGCTTTTGTAAGCTCCTGGGAGGTCCAGCCGAGTGACGTCCCACGCAAGCCCAGAAAAGGGACCTCGCCCTCCCTGGGGGCTGCCAACTGCGCAACTGCCCTGCCTGGGTGCTGCCACCTGCGCAGCTGATCGCCACTTCCGTGAGCTGCCATTATCGGACGCACGCCGCAAATCGGCACAGAGGTTCACATCCCATGGAGCATGGATCCCATTCGACCTCCCATCCTCTCTCCATCTTGGGGGCCCTGGGGGCTCCGCCCCCTCGCGGATTTGCAGCCCCTCCCCCCCCTCAGCCTCCTACCATCAACGCTCCGCCAGTGGTGGATGAGCAATGCGGCTCCCAAGCCAGAAACGCAACTTCGATGCTGGCTACTTGCTCGAAATCTGCGGGACCCGCAACCTACGAGCCTTCAAGGTATTGCTAGTCTATGCGCTCGGATTGCAGTACCTGACGCTGCAGCGAGAGCACCCATATTGGCCGCGATCCCTCAACGTGCCATTCCTTTCGTGAGGGGTGAGACTAGGCAGAGGATTTCATATTTGGAAATGTTGTATATGCAGAAAACAGCGGCTGCCACGACGAGTTGTCGCCACTGGCAAGCCGACAGTTCCCCTCAGGCCCCTTACTAGTTCTATACAGTTTTAGAAAGCAAGGTCACGTGGCCAGTGACACTCACGTCAGAAGAGTGCCTTGCCATGGACATCAATCAGCGCGCAGTGTACAGGCACATGCCGTTGACTACTCTGGGGCACGGGGCTGGTGGCACTTTGCACAAGAGTGCGGCGACCCAGCACGCGTGCATGATAGAGGCTGGGAGCATCGAGGTGTTTCACAAGGCGTGTAGGAGGAGGAGGAAGGAGGGAGGAGGGAGGATATTCTCAGGAGGAGGAGGGTGGAGGACGGAGGAGGAGGTGGAGGAGGACGGAGGAGGGAGGAGGGAGGAGGGAGGAGGATCCTAGGAGGAGATAGTGCTTGCGCGGGCTGCCCTGCGGCCGGCCCCCCCTCGGATTGCGTGGTCGCCTTGCGGTGACTGCGCGAACCTTGCCTGCCGCGGCCCCCGCGCGCCCGAGAGAGCATCGACCAAACCCATGTGTCGACCGTTGGGAGACCCAGCGGTTAAGCCGTCGGGGGAGGACGTTGTTTCGATCTGCTCAAACGACATCAAAGACGAACTCCTTCCCGACTATCTGGAGGAGGGAAATCCCGGGACTGAGCCCAAAGAAAACGCTCAGCCCGAGACAATTCGAAATGCTACCCCACCGGCACAGCCGAGTGAGGGGGCTTTCCGACCGGCCAAGCCGGCAGGGGACGAGGCTAAACCATTTAGCCCGAACGATGTCGTGATGGATGAAGACATCGAGATGGGGGCTGGTGTAGAAATTCGCAGAGAAGAGATCGTTGCTCGCAAAAGGGCAGCCGAGACAGCTATCCAGGACAGCCAGCCTGCCAAGAAAGCGGCCACCTCCGGTCCAGGAGACATTGATTCCAGAAAAGAGAGACCAACATTCCCTTGCTTTCCCGACAAAAAGAGAGAATGGTCTAGATTGGATCACACCGGGACCGTTAAGTTTGGACACAAGCGGGGATGGAGTTGGCGCTTCACGATGTAGAGGCATGACGTATTGTATATGCGGAACGACCAAGTCGTGACCGCGCTGAAGGCTGACCTGGATGCAACATCGCAGACGATTTTTCAACGTCTGTATTCTCAGATCTCGCAGGATCCGTGGATAGTGCACTGGACAGCGTTCGAACGAAAGGCAACATGCCGTTTCGATTGTGCTCCTCCTAGTCTGGGCCACATCCCCGTGGGTACATTCTTCCAGACGTACCCTGATGAGAAGGCGAGACTGGTCTGCAAATTGTATACGAACCCACCGGGGGAGGCACGTCACGCTGTTGGAACTCTCGAGAAAGGAGAGGTCATTGGTCCCACCGTCGGCCCAGCCGTACGGTGTAAGACAATCTATGGAGATTTTGTGAGCGTCCCAGTGGTAGACCACTGGACGAAAGGATCCCCCGAGGTGTGGTTGAACATCTGGGGCCCTTCTCCCCGAAAGCCTCCCCCGTGGCGCAGCCGCTGGGGATGGTTGGGGAACAATGTTTGCCCTTCCTGTGGTCAAAGGCTTGCATCACACGCCAGTGCATGTTGTCGAGGAGGCTCTTACCGCTACAGCAAGAACGAATTATTTCGAGGCCTCCCCTCAGCAGGCGATACATTGGCGCAAAGAGCAACGACCATGGAAGCGGCCGCCGAACCTGGATGAGTGGTTTGCCAAGGACAGCCTCGATCCTGAGGCCAAAGTGCAGTCGCCACCGAAGAGGTCGTGGATGACAGAAGAGGCACCGAACGACTCAGTCGCTTCGGCAAGCCATCAGGTAGACGCAGCCATCACTCAGCCCTCTCTGGGCAACCCTGGAGTCGGCCAGCAGGCTGCCGGCGGATCGTCCGCCGAGCCAGCCTCGGGCCCGGCTGACCCTCCCGGCGCAGCCGGCGGCGGCCGGCGGTAGTGGGGCTCCGCCTGGACCAGGTGGTTCTTCTTCGGAAAATGGTGCACCCTCATCCCTCCTCAGGAGGTGGTGGAGGGGATGGACCGCCCGAATCGGGTCCACCCGCGGCCGATGCTGAGCCGGGTGGCCCGCCCTACATTGGGCGAGGTCCCTGGAACGTCCTTGACTATCTTCGGTCGCAGGGGAATTTTGCGACTGATCCTAAGGCCCCTACAAATGAGTGGCAGGTCCAGGTGAATGAGATTCTCAACCTGCACATTGTGATCGAAGACCCGATGATGTCGACCTGGGCAGTCAAACTGTCGTTTCTTCAGAAGTGCCAGGCCATCTCGCAAATCGCTAGAGTGAACGGACACTCGTGGATGCCATTCATAGGTGAGGACCTCGCGGCCATGTCGGACACAGGGAAACCAGTTACTGATTTCTTTCGTCCACTGTGCTTGATGAATAGTGGGACGTGTACTTATTGGTCTTACTCTGTTCATATTGTTTCAGACCCCACAATTGTTTTCAAGGGTGGGCCCGGGAAAATTAAGCCCAGCCTTCTCCCTGAGTGCAACCTGCGAGAACATGTATTTGGAAGCTCGCAGAATTCCATGAGTGGAGCCTTGGCCTCGGCCATTCGGGGGGCCTCTTCAGACTTTCAGTGGAGTAAGTATGAACACCTTAACAAGGGGATCCGCACTCCGATACGCTTCACCTTTTGGAATTTTGATGATGTTGTAGATGACGCCAGTGAATTGATCGGAGTTGGCACTGGGCCAAAACGGCAGGAGAATCCATTAGCTTTCGCAGGGGGCCTCATATTAGTAGAGGCAGCGGTTGAGCTGGTTATTGACGCGATGAGCCGTGCTGCTGACGGAGCGATAGAGATCATGTACGCTGTTGGGGGCCACAAGTGCTGGCAGACGGATGGAGTTGGCATCAACCCGATGTTGGATGATGTTGCCACTCTTGTTAGGGCCAGAATGAACCGTCGGATCGAACGCTACAAAGCTATATGACTTTTCCCAAGAATAATGATCCTCGACAGAGTGAGCCTTTACCGACAGCTTCGGCGCCGCTCAGGAGACATTTTTCACTTTGCTTCGAACCACCATGAGTATAAAATGAGCAAAGGTGGGCAAATAGTGAGCGCGAATGCGGGCCAGTTATGTGCAGAGTACATGGCCAAGACCGCTAAGCTGGCCGTGCTATTTTTCTGCCAGCCCTCCGGCGGCTCAGCCGCACGGAGTGGCAACGTAGCAAGGGGGGCAAGAACTGACGGGTGTGCCGAGCGGGAGGCGACCATTAATGAGCTAGTCATGTGCCGGCAAAATTGGGCCCCCTTCAGTCTTCAGTTGGCAACATACCCACGTCTTTGCTAAATACAGCTTTGAGTTCTGAAGATTTTCCACCCATCCAAGATGGATCTGGAGGTGGAGCTATCCACTCATATTACTCAGCGGTTTTTTATTGTCTTTCTTAAGCAGGGAATGGCATATGAGGGTTTTTTCCCTTGGAAAGACGACAATTACTTCTTGCCGCGCGGGGGGACTTTCTGCCCGGGAATGCCGCCGAAGGGGCAACGCCTACGATCGGCTAATGAAGGCGTGCAAAATGATGAGCGTATGCGCGCGGCACTGGACGAACTGCAAAAGGCAGCGCCGACCAAGGCACCGAGCGGCTTAGCCGTTTCGGGGAGTGGTTCGGCCTCGAGCGGCGTAGCCGTCCCGGGTCACGCCGCGCCACTGAGCGGCTCAGCCGCTTCCAGTGGAGTCGCTGCGCCCAGCGGCTCAGCCGCCTCGGGCAGTGATGCCAGTGTGCGGGCGGCTCAGGCGCCCCGCAGTTCCCCTTTGGCGCCGACTACGGGCTTCCAAGAAGCCCAAACGCCCGGTGAAGCAGCGGAGGAGTTTCTTGGCAAGAAGTGCCCCGTGGGAAGGTTAACCAAGCTCAGCGGCAATCGCAAGTTCCCACAGCGTCCGAAGGAAACCGCTGATCCCAACAGTAACGAGGATAGGGAACTTGATTGGCCGTATCATTTGCCATATCAAATGATAAAGAAGTTGCCTTATAGATGTGCGACAGGGCCAGAACTTGTTCAGCATGACTTTCTCCGACCATTTACGATCGCGAGCGGCAACCTCCATCGGGGCATGATGCCTGGGAACACGTGCCCAGGCGAGGAAGGCCGTGCTGCAGAGGTTGCAAAATAGAATCTTCCGCCCCGAAGCCAGGAGTTCAAGATGGTTCAGAGAACTGCGAAGGGGGAAGCCTGGTCGGCTTTTCAGTTGTTACAGAAGTCCACGAGAACCCCACCCTTGGAACCAAGTTATGTGATTCCGAACTGGGCACGCTTCTTCAGAATCAAAGCCGACCTGTCAAGAGCAGACCCGGCAGCCACTGTTGCTGATCGTCTGAATTGGGCTGAGTTGTCGGCGAGGACCCATAGAGCGGGCATCAGCCATTGTGTTGAACTCTCGTTGCCCTTCTTCGTGAAAGATGAGAAGCGTGCGGAGGTCCAAGACCCATCCACAGGCTGGACTAAACAGTCGCATGGCACGTCCGTGACTGCCCTTCATGCAATATTGGAGGGCCATCAGTTGCTTCCTTCCGACCCCAAATACGGAGGTAACATCGAGGCGAATAAGGTTGGGGTGTACTCCTTTCCATGTGCTCATAACCCTAAGACGCACACGACGTATTCCGTTGCAGAGGAGACCTTTGGAGATGGTATCTGGATTACTGCAGATATTGTTTTCTTCACGACAAACCCAGCCGTCATTGACGGAAGGCCGGCACAATATGTTAGCGACCCAGCGGGGGACATATTGCACGAGCTCAGACTATACCATTGGACTCCCGCAGCGCTTCATGTTACGCCAGCCTATGTACACTTACAACACGTTGCCAGACAGAGGGGTTGGAATCTGGCGCAAGATTTCGAGGTCGAACGATATCGAGGCGATGATCGGACGAACGCCGCGGACAAAGTCCGGGAGGCACAAAGAGAGTGGGTTCCAAACTTAGAACCAATTGACTGGCAAAAGGGAATGAGTCCGTATTTTGACACTAAGACCTTTGATGATATTTGGCCTTGGCTCCAACAGAAGGGAGTCAGGCTAACTAAGATTCATCCATTGCACAGGTGAGGCCTCGGAGGAATCCACGAAGCTTGTTCAAAATAGTAAGGGCGAATCAGACAAATTGAAGGCAGCGGCGGAAGCAGAACAGGAGGCGCCGGCGGCTCAGCCGTCCAGCATTCAATTTTCGGTTGAGGCTGAGAACTTCCCGACTTTAGTGCAGGCTGCATCAAGCACTCGGAGAGCGTTCAAGCCTCCGCCCC